TATATGCAAGTGCGTCACGCCCGATCCCCTGCTGTGTGCTCTACAGTTGCATGGGCAGACGCATCATATCTCGTTCAAAGTCACCACGCCGTGATCAAAAAACACATCATTTTGTTATTAATTCGCGAGATAAATAAACCGATGGTCACTGAAGTTGAGGCTGAAACACAGTACAGTCACTGGACTTCAGAATACGCTCAATAAGGTCATTAAATACGAAATGCGGTGATTATACGGTCACTGGCTCATCGTAGAGCTCGGTATTCTATTTGCATGCACTTCGTTGACCGGTCAAATAGTCTGCATGTTCGATGAAAAAAAAGTCTGCATGGCACCTAGTGAAGGCTGGTCAGTGGCAACACTCTCCCTGTCCTGTTGGTCCCACCTGCCAGTTCACGAAATAAAAAGCAAATAAAAGAGTAAGAACAGTGCGCGAAGGCGTAGAACTCGAACCCGATATCTTTCGGTCTTCCTTCTTTTATATAAACTAGTTGAATGACAATGCTTTGCCACGGGACAATATAGAGATGCTAGAGACATTAGTGTGAAATAATAGTTCTTTTTATGAACCTAGATGTCAAGCAATTCATGCATCTGGTTTACTCGCCCAGAATATTGATGGCCTTCTCCTTGTTTCCCCTTTCCACAATGACCAACACTCTTCCTCCCCATGTGACATCTCCTTCACCCTCATGCCGTTAGGACAACTTAGTGTCTTTCTACTACCATCCCACCTAAATGACATATCATGAGGATAAAAAATACAAATATATAGTACTCCCTCCGTTTTTTGATGTAAGGTGTATATATTTTTAAGAAAAAATCCAAAATATAAGGTGTATCGCATTGCACCACTCGTCTAGATAATGTTTTTAGGGATTTGATTACATTTTCTTATATTAGGCAAGCTCCTCTATTTTCTCATGGCAATTAGTTAGGTGTAATCTCGCCCAAAACTTGTGAAATTTTTCCTCCATGTACATTCTTTAATTTTCGTGCCAAAAACTATACACCCTATATTAAGGAATGGAGGGAGTAAAACTTAAGATCTTGTACTACCTATGTAACATAATATAAGACGTTTCTTTGACACTATAATAGTACAAAGGGAGTACTCAATAACATTGCAAACCTGTGAGAAAAAACAACAAATAAGTGCTGAAAAGGAAGCAAAAATTAAGATCCATAACTTGATCGTACAATTTACGCGATAAATGAAATAGTTCCTCCGTCCCAAAATAAATGACTCAACTTTGTACTAGCTTTGAGTACATGTTAGGACCAGCTAGGAAGGCCCTTGCCTCCTGCCATGTGACCAGGTCATGGAGACGAGCATGCAGCTCCATCTTTATGCACACATGAGCGTGGCAGTGTAGAAATCTATGAGATGAAAGATTTAGCATCGATTGCCATCTATTACTTCCAACATAAAACACCATTCAGAATATTAGTAAATAAAACTCTCTACTTGAGATATTTTCAAACAACCTGCAACATAAAACAACATTCAGAATATTAGTAAGTAAGTGGTGGTGCGCTCTTGTCAGAATAGAGAGAATATGTTTAAGGGGGGAGCTTACTACTTTGCAAGAAGAAAACACAAAAGCTAATGATGAACAACTTCTGATGGTAAAGAAGAAAATTTACGAGTTGCTACAGACAAATTTCACCCATTAATGCTGGAATGCATTTGATTCATCAGCTTGCTTTGCCACAATGTCACCAAGCAAATTGATGAACCCAAACAAAAATATGGCTTTGTCAAGCATCCTTCTGACAAGTGCTGGTATGAGACAAAGCCCATTCTTCTTAGCCTCAGTGACAGTCTTTGAGTTTCTTGGACCTCTCTGTTGCAATCAGATATTCAGGGGATTGATCGTTCCTATTCTAATAAGCCTTAATTCAGTGTCTAAAACTAAAAAGTATACTTTGCCAAGAGACAGATACATTTTGAAAAGCATGGCTTGCATAGTTTGCACTTGTCAAGGCAGTTCCTGACATCCATCTTTGAAACAGGGAACTTTGGGAAGTCACATGGCCTATATAGACAAGAAAGGGAAAATATGTCTCCGGTGTTATAAGAAAGATTATCCATATAGGTAAAGTGGCAATTTCAAGGAAATAATAACATATACCAATACGATGTAAAACAGGACTACATAAAAAACACCCAGTTCATCTTGGGTATGCCTTCACATTCATGTAATAGGTGAATGATGTGCAATTTTCCTACCCAACACAAACACAAGGATGTTAAGAGCATCTCCAACAGCCGTGCTATATATCGCGCGTGCGGGGAGAATCATGTTTTAGCGCGCTCCAGCAGGTGCGGGAAAAAATCACGCGCGCGCAAAAAAAGGGGCCGACGCGCGGCAGTTTTGGCACGCTCTATAAAACACGCGCGTCCGAGCCCGCCAACCGCCACTCGAGCGCCTTCTTCTTCCCCGTCGCCCCCTTCTTCCTCGCATCCAGCGCCCCACTGCCGCCGCCGCACCCTTCTCCCGCCGCCGCCGCACCTTCTCCCCCGTCGCCGACATGTTGCCACACGCCCGGAGCAGCTCCAGCTTCCGCGGCGTCCGCGTCCGCCCCTCCGGCATGTTCTATACGGAGATCCACCCCGGTGGCATGCGTCTCGGTCTCAGGACGTTCGAGACCGCCCACGAGGCCGCCCGCGCGTACGACGCGGCGGCGTGGCGGCTCTCGAGGCCACGTTCGTAGATGAACTTTGACAGCGTGCGGACGTGCCAGCAGGCGCAGGACCTCGCGCCTCCGCCGCGGCTAATAACCGATGTGGACTGCCGTAAACACCGTAGGCGGGAGCGCTGCCTCCTCATCGCCGAGGCGGACGAGTACGCCATGGCGGAGTGGCGCCAGCACTTTCGGGCGGAGAGGAGGGCAAAGCGAGCCGCGGATCAAACGGACAGGGCGTGAGCGGAAGGCCCTTGTGATAGTGCAGTGCGAACTGGGAGCTGCGTCGACCTTTGACGACAACGATCCTCAGTGGGATGACGCGTTTCTATCGTCGGACTACACCACCGAGGAGGAGGACGACGAGGAGTAGTTTCTAGTATATTTGCACCGTAGTATCGTTTAGGGATAAGTATATTTTTTGCCCCTCTACTCTTTCCAAAGTATACAAATGGTCCCTAAACTTCAAAACCGGTAAACCTTGGCTCTCAACTTTTCAAATCAGATAAGTTTAGTCCCTAGTATCACTTTTGGTGGGTTTCATCTGATGTGGACACTGTTTTGACTAAAAATTTGACATGCCATTCGACATCACTTTCCACTTCAGCACCATGCCGGCGCCATGACCAGTGTGGAGCGCTGTCGTGTACCGCGCGCATGGAGATGGATGCGTACCTATGCAGCGACCACATGATGGTGGAACACATCTTGTCCCCGATAATCAGAAGTCGGAGCTACGGATGCTCGCCTGCATGCACGGCACAAGCCCGCCGTGCACGTGCTGCACCTCTATGCGTGCAAGAACGCCCGAGCAAGCACCGGCAGCACCATTCGCGCGTGCTCTCGCTGCTGCTCGATCGTTGCCTTCTCACCGCTAGTCCGTGCGGACTCATGGGGCTTCATTCTAACTCCTTCAGCAAGCGTGTCGAGGGTCACCACCGTGGCTCAACCGCAACTCCGTGCACCATGAACACATGTATTACTCGCGTGTTCTAGCCGGTACAAATCAAAGTGAACAGCGTCAAGTACGTGCATGTCTAGGCAGGTGAGTTAGGGCATGTCCAACGCTCCAGGTTGGACAGCTGCTCCAGCACTCCACATAGGATCGGATGGTCCAGTTTGCCAAAAGGTATGGCTTGCAGACACAAGCGGGATCCTGCAGAGGAGGCCGCTTCCTCACTGCCAAAAGTCACAGGACCACGCCTTGGCTTCTCTCATCTTGCGGTCGCCGTTTGATAAAGTGAAGTAGAGGACCTTACTCCTGTCATACCTCAAACCACTGCTTCCATTGGATGGTAAATGTTCAAATAGTGGTCTTTTATCTGCAAATCTATATGAATGGGATGAGACCATCGCTTGATGCTGCTACCTCTGTACATGCCCTTAGCTAGCTTTTCACGTGAGAATCCAAAGCCAGTTTGCTGTGTACGTCACCGAAACCGCCACGGGGCCTGCACCCCTGCCGCTGCCGGCCGCATGACTTGAACGAGGAGCATGGCGAAAGTCCAGCATCCCATTAGCTAGGCCACCGTGCCCTGCATGTAGTGCCACCACAGCCGAGCACTTGCACAGCGTGGGGTGCCATCGCAGCTCCGTAACATGGCAGTCAAACCCCAATGACTTGTCAAGTTTTAGTCAAAACCATGTCCACTAGATGAAAACCACAAAAAGCGGTACGAGGGAATAAACTTATCTGTTTTGAGAAGTTGAGGGGCTTAAATTTGCTGGTTTTGAAGTTGAGGGATCATTTCTATATTATCGAGAAAGTTGAGGGACGAAAAATATACTTTTCCCTATCGTTTATTATCTATTTTTATTTGTATCGTATTGACTAGTTTGTGGTGTTGGGTTGAACTATACTATTTGTATCGTTGAATATATATGTTGTTTCAACCACACCCCATTCACTAGAACCTCCTCAGGCCTTGTTCGGTTGCGTGTAAATCAGAGCGGATTGAAGGGGTTTGAGGAGGATTTAAACCTCTTCTAAGTCAAAATATGAACCAATCCTTTCCAATCCCCTCCAATCCTTTTGGGGAGAGGATTAACCGAACAAAGCCTCAAGAGTGCCATGGCTACAGTGGCGATGGATGGAGATGGAGAGGCGAAAAGAAGGAGATGGGCCAAGGGGTCCGACCCCTTGCCCTTCTTATAGCATCGACGAGGGCTGGTTCGTGTCCCTTCGCCTTCAGGGCAATGATGGCCCCGCAGCGCGCGCCCAGACTTTATGTTAGTCTGGGCGGTTGCCAAGGCGTCGTGGGGAAGTGGGGGCGTCCCACGCCCTGTCGTGCGCCGCGCGTCGAGCCTGGCCTGTAGGTGGTTGGGGCCCGCGTCGCTAAGCCCCCCCTCTCTCCCTCCGCCGCGAGTGGACTCGTGAGCACCGCGGGCCCGGGGCTACTGTTGGGCCTCTGGGACTAGGATACCTAGGCCCGTCTGCCTGCGGCCCATCGCGTGGCGCCAGCAGAAGGCCCAACACGGCTCAACTTCAAGGCTCCACGAGCAAGACCCTCGCGAGGGCCCTTGCCTCATGAGGCGCGCGTCAACAAGGGTCGTCAAGAGCTCCCGAGGGCCTCACGCAAGGCGGTCTCCTGAAGCTGCCTCCCGAGGCCCCTCGCGGGGCGGATATGTCTAGGCTCGCTAAGCCCCCTCGCGCTGCATGTGGGTGACGCGAGCCACGACGAGCGGCGCCGGGAGCCGTGCCAGCGGGCGCGGATAAGGATGCTTACCTCTTTTGTGCTAAGGGATCTCGCCGGTTCCCAAAGCAATCCTCAAAGGTTGCCACTTTGGTGCAAGAAGACCTGGACCGCGGGCTCGCCACGACGGAGGTCATCGCCGAGCCAACCGACACGTCATGGCAGGAAGGTTTGGCAGGCGAAAAACACCTTTAGTCAAGATAAGATGTACTCTTGTCTCCCTTCAAAATCGGCCGTTGTGGCAATCCTTCCCGCCTAGAGTTTTCGGAGGAAGAGGACCAGGGCCAGTATAAGTATAAGCTAGTTTCCACCATAGAGAAGGGTCAAAAACCTTTGGATCCCTCGAACTAGCCGAGCCTCCCGAGGCAGTTGGTCCTCCTTGTACACACTCGTACTCATCCTTCCTCGCGAGGCAATCCACACAAATCAGGAGTAGGGTCTTACACCACAAGGTGGCCCGAACCTGGGTAAACTGCCGGGTCCGCTGTTCATCCTCCTCGCCCAAGCACGCTGGAGCATTGCCGTGAGGCAGTGGGCAGAGAGCTAGAACTTGACGAGGTCCTTCGAGCACATCCCAGAGTTTGAACCTTTTCTTGGATCCCCGGAGCCCTGATTCCGACAGTGCCTGGGGCATAGGTCCATCATGGCCCATTGGCCATGCCCTCGGAAGGAAGAGGTGGCCCAGATATGAAATGAAACTATTCTGTCCTCCATTTCTCTTCTTCTTCCCCAAGTTCATCCTTCTCCTATCAGCCACTGCTGGCCCTGTCATCAGATTGGTACTCTTCGCTCTCCCCGAGCCCTGCCCATGGCGTCCCTCTCAGCATGGCAACGGAAGTCAAGCCTAGAGTGTGTATTTTCTAGTGCTCAGTGTCGTACTTGTATCCTTGTGTAGCATAGAGGAATACCTTTTCCATAACTTGTTTTATTCGAATTTAACTTCCGCATCCATGAGACGAGGAAGGTTACAGGAAGACTAGTTCTGGATGCATGCAGTATGATGCGGAGTTTACATAACTGGATGTAGGCAGCAAGGGCCTACCAACTACTACCAAGTAACAGCCATTTGCTTATACTACTCAAACGGAACATGACGCTCGTCTGAGTATCGGTCGTCTGAGTATCGGATGCCGGGACGACAACAACGAACAACACGCTCACGCGATGAAAACCTGGATCCTATCTCCCCTGCCGTCCTCAAAATCAAGCAGTATCTGCCCGTTCTGGGGGTTGTCCGAATCCATAGGCGCGTTCCGAAGCCTTTCCATGATATTAGTTCCAGCCAGGCCTGCAAAGTGCCAAGGAAGATGATCTATGAATGAAACATACACAGACCAAGATCCTTTCTTTTCTATCTCGAAAATACAAATGTAGTGACAGATTCATGTTCCTTCTATTAGAAGACAAGTACAAACCTGGAATAACTTTTGTCATCCCTTCTAAGAATCCAGCCTGTTGCAGAGAAAGCAGGAACAGAAGGAAACAACCTTTTAATCAGTATGAGAATTACTCAATTGTAGAACATTTGCACAGATACTACTAATAGCCAAAAGTCACTTGAGTATGGTGTCAATTTCAGAACTTCTGAGTCAACTAGTACTACATATTGAATCGAAAGTAGACTGTTAAATGGGTTCCTACAGGTATCCTGGCATCAATTTTCTGGACCCCATCTCTTCCTGTAATCTTCAATCGAAGTGTGCGGGACCACATCCCACCTGAAGGACCTCTGCCTCCAGCGGAACCAGGATCATAGAGCTGTGGCAGTATGTCAATAATAGGTTCTTGTGATTTCTCAGTCCTGGACTTGGTGTCTCCTGAACTGCTAGCTTCACTTGTATAATCATAATTACCTATAATTGTGTTGTAGCAGGATAAGGAAAACCATCCATATTCAACACAGTTTACGAGAGAATATGCTCACCACTCCAAAAGGATGATTGAGCTGGTGATGCAACGTATCGCTTTTCCTCTTCATAATAACGGTTAAACCCTAGCGTATCCTTGATCTCCTCAAATGATGGCAAGCTACTTGGAGGAGGTATGCGGCCACCTTTTATAGCAACAAGAGCATCCTGCACATCAGGGTGTCTTATACAGTTAATGATTGACAGCGGACATGTATCATATGCGTGGTACCAAATTGAACATGAATATGCAGAAGATTTTGAACCCACATGATATGCCATCAAATGGAAGAAGCATACAATAACTACCAGTTCACAGACATAGAAGATGGTACATACATGACTCTATACGCCTATATGTGAGTGTGCGCAATTTTATTTTTCTTTGGCAAAAACTTCTACCGGGAATCCATGTGCATGATCCCTTAGGACACAACTACTCCTGTTAGTGATACAATAAATAACATGTGAGTTGGTTTCCAGGCATTATTTTATCTCTCTTAAGTTGGTGTGCAAATATAACACAAGTACTTGAAGCATGTATAAAGTATAAACAACTAACCTCCATTGCACGCATTGATACCCCAATTAGAGATAATGGGTAGGCTATGATTTTGTAACCAATTTCTTCAAGTTCAAGAGGGCTCAATATAGGAGTTTTACCACCACCTTCTAACATGTTGGCCTGCAGAAAGAAGCATGGAGAATGCTGAGGACATAAATCTTCCATGGCGGTCAGAAATAGTTTGGAATAACACTGCTGCATTAGAGTAGATCTAACCATTTTTGGAACTCCAGGTGAAACTGCACAAAACGCCATCATCTCTTCCCTTGAGGCAAGGGCATCAATAAATAGAACATCTGCTCCAGCATCAGCAAAAGCTCGTGCTCTCCATAACGCTTCATCAAGAGACAAAGCTTGACGAGAATCTGTCCTTGCCACAATAACAATGTCAGAGCCACTCTCCTTCCTGGCATCTACAGCGGCTTTTATGTGCATAATCGCTTCCTCTCTTGAGACAACTTTCCTTCCTTGTGTATGTCCACATGCTTTTGGTGACACCTTCATAATACTATATACATCATATCACTAAAGAAGGAAGTTATCAAAAGGGAATAAGAAGATTTATCACAAAAATAACGCCAGTCATTTTTTAATATAAAACAAAATCATATCCGCAAAGTGCAATGGAAATAGAATGTTTACATATTTTAAATACATTGTTCAAAATCAGGATAAATGATCCTTGATTGCTAGAATATGAATTATGCTATACTACGAATATTAGATGTCAGCCAGGGTCCAGAGCAGAGACTTATTAGGGCAGTAGCAGGGGTTGTTGTCCAACATTACAGTTAACATGAAACTAAATGCACAGCCAGGATGTTTAAAACTATATACAAACTCTCGCAAAACATAAACTACAAACAAACATAAAATATGTGTAAAATGACATTTAGGTTCTTATGAAGGTGAAGCACTCTAGCTCAGTGATGCGATAGTTTATGTACATAAAATAGGTTATAGAAGCAAAACAGCTGGATAATTTAGTAAACAGCACAACATTGGAAGAGTATCAAAATACCTGATCTTCAAGAATAATTCCAGCAAAACCAGCATTAATAAATCCTTTCACTGTCCTCTTGACATTCATACAGTTTCCATAACCATTATCAGCATCACCAATGACAGGTATCGATACTGCTTCAGTGATTAAACGCCCTTGATCTATCATTTCACCATAGGAGATGAGACCAACATCTGGCAATCCAAGCCTTGCAGCAGATATTGAGAAGCCTGAAAGACAAAATACTGTTAATTTTTTCAGGATTGAAATCTCATAGATCTCCTTTTACATAGGACTAGGCTAGCTCCCTAAGCAACTACTACGCTCTGGTTCCATTTTCAAGTTCTGACCGAGCGACCGTGACTATACAAGTGAAGAACAAACTTGTGGTGATTTGATAGGTGCAACGCCACTTGATCAAAGTGCCCTGAACATATGCATAGGCAATATACACCAGCACAAGAGCAAATTCTCTCTCCAGTATAAGGTTTTCATCATCTTTACGACATATGGGGTATACAATTACAAGGTAGTATAAGTGTAATACTCACAATCTACAGAATGACAGAAACATGGTGGCGCAGCAAACACCCGTTGCTATGTTCAGGAATTGGAAGTATGGTACACTATGCTATTATGATGAGAGTGTGTGCGAGAGAGAGTCCTGCAGAAGCAAAAGGGCGAACACGTACCGCTCGTGAAGCAGGCCCTGAACCCCGCGCGCTCGACGAGGCGGGCGCTGAGCGCGTCGTAGCAAGCGGGCGCCTGGTGGGCGCCCGGCGTCCCCAGCACTCTCCGGAGCGCCGCCGCGGGCTGTTCCCCGGCGCCCGCTCCGGCGCTTTCTCCGGCTGCGGCGTAGGAGCAGCGGGGGGAGATCCGAGCGCGCACAGACAGGGGAAGGGCTCGGCGCTGGAGGAGTGGGGGCGGACGGACACGGCAGGAGCCGGCGCGGCCTGAGGTGCACGGGGACGGCGAGGCGGGCGGCTGGTGCAGGAGAGCGGCGTAGCACGCCATTGCCACTGCCCGCTTGGAGAAATCAGCTCCTCCACTACGCACCAGTCCCAGTCTCGCTGCCTCCCCGGTTCCACTTTGGCAGAAATCCCCCCACACACGCGGAGCTGGTTGAGACTTGAGCCCAACCCTGTGAGCCTGTGAAATGACCCACGAACGCAGACCCAGCAGTTGCTCCTTCCATTCCGGCCACAACCCACGCCTCCACCCGCCATGCCGCCGCCGCCGGCGACGCTGCCGGACGAGCTCCTCGAGGAGATCCTCCTCCGCCTCCCGCCGGACGACCCCGGGTGCCTCTTCCGGGCCTCCCTCGTCTGCAAGCCCTGGCGCAGCCGCCTCACCGGCCCCGCCTTCACCCGCCTCTACCGCGAGTTCCACGGGGCGCCTCCCTTGCTGGGGTTCTTCGAGAACGACGAGACGGTACTGTGCTGGTTTTCTCCCTTGCCCCCCACCTCCCCCTTCTTCCCGGTCCACCCCGGCAAGTGTAGTCTCTTCGTGCTCGACTCGCGCCATGGCCTGGTCCTCTCAAATACCATCGGCCCGGACGGCGAACCCCTCTGCCTCATCGTGTGGGACCCCGTCGGCCACCGCCAGTGGCGGCTGCCCTTGCCGGATTTCGTGGACTGGCCAACCGTCCCAGACTGCGCGGCGGCGGTGCTCTGCGCCGCCGATGGCTGCGACCACCTCGACTGCCCTGGCGACCCCTTCCGTGTGGTCTATGTGGGCACCGATGACGATGGCGTCGCGCAAGCTTGCGTCTACTCTTCAGAGTCCCGTGCCTGGAGCCCCGTGACGTCTTGTGAGCACCCTGACTTGCCCCTGCACGTCATCAGCTCTCGGCCCAATGCCCTTGTGGGAGATGCAGTGTATTTCTTGTGCCATCAGGAAACGTTCATCCTGCAGTATGACTTGTTGAACCAGGAACTATCAATGATTTACTGGCCACCCTTGCCAAAGTGTAAGTGCGACGAGTATATCGTTATGGCCACAGAGGACGGTGAGCTGGGATGTGCCACCCTGAAGGAGTCCAAGCTCGAACTATGGTCGATGGAGGCTGACGCAGGTGGAGCTGTGAAATGGGTAACACGCAGAGTCGTCGACCTCCAGAACTTGCTACCCTCTCCCCCCAGATTTTTGGTCTGCTGCGCCAATGGGGTTCATGTCTTTTTCGCGAGGACAGATCTTGGCACCTTCACAGTTGAGCTTAATTCAGGCCGAGTCAAGAAGGTATCCAGCAGCAGCGAAGTCATTCCCTACATGAGGTTCTACACTCCAGGTACTAGCATCGTCAAACTTGTACAAGCTCGTTTACGTTTGCTTTCCTATGACTTGCGAATCATTTAATAAAAAATAAGTAATACTTCTGTTAGCTACATGAAGTTTAACTGACGGCACACAGGAATGACTTTGTGAAATTGGATATAGCAATGTCACATATAATGTATATTTTCAGATCTAGCTCCATCAACCATGGCCTCCTCCTCAGAGAACATTGAGACGGCCCAAGACGAGCACCATGATCAACTGTTACCGCACTCAACTGGGGATGTGGGTGATGAGAAGGAGAAATGGGTAGAGAAGGGCGAGGAGGATTGTGAATGGGAGGACGGATGGGAGGAGGAGGCCGAGGAAGAGAAGTGGGAATGGGAGGGGAAGAAAGCTCTAAAGGAGCTGTTTGACAAGGGGTCCAAGGCGATTGAGGAGGAGCAATTCGTTCACGCCAAGCACTGTTTCCATGATGTCCTTGAGAGTAGGTTAGAGTTTCTCTCCCTTGCATGTGCTGCTCTTACTCCAAAGCTTGGCTTAAGCATGCATTAGTCTTGTTATCTGTATTGGTATTTTTATATGTGCTTAGTTGCTTTTTTGCTTTTGACTTGCATAGTCTTTGTGATGAACTTAGTTGGGTTTAGGAGGTTCTAACTGGTTAGGCAGCAACCTAACCTTCTATTGTGATGCCGTGTGAACTGTGACGAGCACCACATCAATGTTTGTATTTGCTTCAGGGCTTGGTTTTTACCCATTTGAGAAATGCACGTATATTTCTGAAGTGTGAGCTGATTTAAATGTTTGAGCAATATAACTTGGACCAACTATCCTTGCCACATTTGCAGTTTGGAAAAAACTCAAGTGATTAGGATCAGAAATTCTTAAACTAAGTGACACTTTGGCCAACTGTGGTAGGCTAACTGGCCAAAAGTGCAGCTTATTGTAAATACTTCATCGCAGTGCAGTTTATTTATATGCTACTTGAAAATTGCACTTCAAGCTATCACTCTTGGTGGTTGTTACAAAAGGTGACAAACAGCGGACATAGTTAGCACTTCCCTGATGAAATAATTGAGGCGTAGTATTGATTGATGTTGTATCACAGATTACATTACTTTTTACTCCTTATAAATTTAGTAAAATACGCCTTTGTTTGTCACCCAGGACGTTATATTATGGGAGGCTTTCTCCATTGTGTATTAGCACATATTACAAATATGGACTTACTTTGCTGTACAAAGCTCGAGCCGATATTGCACCGTATCAAGACTTAGTGAAGGGAGATGATACTGGAATCTCAATGGCATCTGGTAGCAATGTAAAGGAAGGTGATACTGGAAAAGGTACATGCCATTACTCCTATACTCCGTACAATCACTACATACATACACGTACGTACATATAATCATTATATATGTAGTCGATTAGCATTTTTGTGGTTATGGTTTACACCTTGTCTCTTTGTCTATTCTTACATGCCACAGAGTGTACGTAATAAACTGCTACTCTGTAATATACTGCATTTGCAAATTAGTCGCCTTGTTTGGAGGCCGGTAATGCCTGGAATTATCTCTCAAATTATCTAATCTTTTTTTGCGGGTAAAATTATCTAATCTTTCTGTAGTAGACTATTTCATCAAAGTGGTTTTCGAAGTACTATATATAAATTAGTAAATAGTACTCTCTCCGTCCCAAAATTCTTGTCTTAGATTTGTCTAAATACGGATGTATATGATACATCCGTATTTAGACAAATCTAAGACAAGAATTTTGGGATGGAGGGAGTAAATGATTTCAGGAACTGTCCAGTGGACGGTTGGTCAAGAGGAGGCGTCAACCCCTCAGTTCACTTGGTTGGACTCCTTGGACTTGCCAGGTGCCTAGTGCAAACCAGGGCTCCTGGTGCATACAAGATTGTAGTAAATTATTTCGGATAGATTCGGATACAACAAATTTTGCTTAGCACATAAAATCTGTATACAATCAAACTAAAAATAGGATAAGCTGATCAGCTCACCCTCAAATATGGAAATACAATCCTCGAACTTTGGAAATGAAAAAGAGTCTTAATATTCAGGGTAGTCCTCCCTGTCGCTGGTGTTGTCTGCACCTAAGAGTGTGGCCCTGCCTCATGTACTGTTGCCCCCACATAACACTACAATAACTTATGACCTTGTTCCATGTGCAATTCTTCATGTCACAGTAAATAGCAGTATAGCCACGTACTAAAGAAAAACTCAGGGCAAACATGATTCTGATTTTGTTCAGATTTGGATCTGGCCTGGAAAATGTTCCATATTGCTAGAGCAATAAGTGAAAATTGCCCTTGGATGCCTATGGTTAAAGTTGATATATATTGTGCTCTTGCTGAAGTTTCTATGGAAAGAGGTAATTTCAGACTTCCATTTATCTTTGGTTACTCCTGCATTTAGTCGTGAATGATCTTGATACTCATGGCCCATATTTTAATTGCAGAAGACATAGACTACTCACTCCGTGCTAGGTTCAAAGCTTTAGCCATCTTGGAGCATTTGGTTGAGCCTGACCATTGTCGGATTGTCTTGCTGTATCCTACCTGTGGCAATAACAGTATCTATTATGTGCTTTGTATTGTAGTATGAAGCATCATATTTTCAACCCCAAGTGCTACAATGGCTGCGCCTTCTAGGCGTATCTTCGGGTTCTAGGGGTACATTTTTAGTTGGTTGATTTCAATAAGTTTGAGCTTACTTACATCCTGTATGGGTATCTTTAATTGGATAAATGCACATGCTAGTGTATTTGTGTAGATGAACTTTTATTGCTGAAGAAGAATTCAGTTAGGTAGTGCTGGTATATTGTAGATTTTGGTTGTTCTTTGTTAATTTCCTTAGTTTGGCCCTAGAAACTTCCACATATTCCTGGCTTTCACGTCGGCATCGAAAATTCGAGACGCGCTCCCATATGTTATAAAGGTTGTGTCATTGTACAAGTCACGTGTGCGGAAGCTGAGAAAGGCTCTCGAAGATTTGCTGGCTGTTAAAGGTGAGAATGCACCTGCTGCTGAAGTTGGCTCAGAAGAGTTGTCACTGGACAATGAGATAGATGTGCTTAATAATATATTGACTGCACTAGAGAACAAGGTAAATAAGTCGGTTCCTTCATGTTACCTAGACGGTGTACCTCATGAACCTACTAATACAGTCAGTATAGTACCGTATGAAGAACTTATAGTTTGAATTTCTTGGATTCAGCTTGAAGACCTGACGCAAGCAACAATAACCCCAGTCTCGGTGGCAAGTGGAATGTATAACATTGTCTATGCTGTGCCAAGAGCTGCATCTCCGACTTTACAAATTGCTGGAGGAAGTAATTCTGTGTCTACAGCAGCAACAGTCGAGACTCAGAGTAGTACTGGAATCGAGCTTGAGACTGCAGGCCAGGGCATGAAACAAGCTAATGCCAAGCTGATCTCTGCTGAACCTTCTTGACCCGACAAGCTTTTGGAGGATTCTTCACCTGCAGCAACAAATCAGATCTTCATCCCGCGGCTAGGAAGGACGATGCCTCTGTATCAGAGCAAAGTATAGGTTTGGTAGCCGTACTTATTGTGACTTGTGCCATGGAACTTTTTATCGGGCTATATGGTCCCATTTACTCAGATGTAAATTCCTAGATGGTGAATGGGTGAGATCAATCAAATTAATGTTTTCTTCGATTATACGTTATGATATGATGTGAGGAGTGTCTTTACTTTATTTAATGCCATGTCATACTCCCTCCGTTTCTAAATATATGTCTTTTTAAACATTTCAAATGGACAACAACATACAGATGTATGCAGACATATTTTAGAGTGTAGATTCACTCATTTTGCTCCGTATGTAGTCATTTGTTGGATTCTCTAGAAAGACTTACATTTTGGAACGGAGGGAGTATAAGCTAAATGCCTAATTCAGACTGCATGATAGATACCCTCCTATGATAATGCACCGGGAGATAGCTCTGGGAGTTAGTAGGGCATCTCTAAGGGCAAACCCCCATCTGTCCTCCCTATTGCCAGTGTACATATGGAAGAGGCCATTTTACCATCGTATATCCAGTGGCACATTTGAGAAACATAGTTACACTTGACAAAACATACTAATTGATGAGAACGATGGCGACAAAACATTTCATTCAACTAAATGTACTAATAACAAGGCCCACGGGTACTTAAAATGGGCTCCGTGCTTCAAATGGACCACAAAGTTTGTATCTTCCATGATTGTTTTGCCATGGAGCATGAATTTGTTAGGGTTAAGTATAAGCATGCCATCAGGGAAACAAAATCTGTAGCTCATGAACTAGCCCAGTTGGCTAAGTTCCAAGGCTGTAGGGTCTGGCTTGATGACCCCCCCCTCTATTGTGGTGAAGTAGTTGCCGCTCGGAGGCAATCGCCAGCGAAAGCTTGGAGGGCTACCTCTAGCTCCTCTGTTCTTTTGCATGTTGACAAGTCTCGTCTTCGTGGATCAAGACTATAAACGTGGCTATAGCCGTGGCGATCATCAGATTTTCCTCCTCGCCTAACGCATCATTCCTTGCCTCTTCCCCACCAATCATGTATATTCCTCCTCGGCTAGCGCAACATTGCTCTCCTTTTCCCGCCGATCACTCCTGGGTGGTGGCTTCGGCCCCCCTCCTCAGAGG